GCGGACGCAGCGTGGGGTGAGCGGCTTTCCAAACCCCCGTGTGCTCAATTCCTCCACTCATTTACTTCTCCAGACCGTGTCTCCAGGCTCAGCTCACCTTCTTCTCCTTTCCCCCCCTCTCCCCCCTGCCCAACCCACCTCTGGGGCACAGCCCATCGCCCCTTCTCTCCTCCCGCTCCCACGAGGAAGGTCACCCCAGCTTCAGCCCAGCACCCCAGCTTCCAGCCCAGCTGCAATCCCCCTTTTGCTGGGGCACCTGGGGGCACTCCCCCAGGTATTTAGAGTGCACACAGCCCTTCTTACCCTGCCTGCAGCGAGCCTGAGCCCCTGCTAGCAAAAAGCAGCAGTAGCTGAGCTTCTCAAAACACCCCTAAACAAACCATTTCTTTGCTAAGAGCAGATCTTCTGCTTTCTGGCTGCAGTTGTCCTGCTGGGCACAGATTTTGACCCCTCCTGTCATTTTGGCCTCTCTTCCCCGTACTCTATGGGGCAGCGGCATGCCCCAGGTGCAGTGGCACATGGCACTCACTGAGGAGGGCTCCTCCATAGAGCCGGATGGGAGTCTTGCTGCTTGCCGATTCCTCATCGAAGACGGCTTCGTAGAGCTGGTCAGGGAAAGCAAGGGCCTGGCAGAGGCAAGGGAGAGACTCAGCACCCTGAGCCATCAAAATGTGCCCTCTCGGGCAGCAGCCCTCTCCAACATCAGGCCATTATGGAATCGGAGCTGCTGACCAGGAAATTGGAAATTAAGGAGGTGCAAGAAATATCAGCATGTCAGCTACTGGCTTCACAGCCAGTTTCTACAGCCAAGGCCGGCACGCCGTGTGTGGTTTATGACCCTGCTCATGAAAACAGACTCCAGTGATGGGAACAAACTGCCAAGGACACTGCTAGCAAAGCCCATTACCGAGACACAGGGAGGGCAAAGGCCCCACAAGAGCAAGCGGCAGCAGCTGCTGGAGGCAGAGGAGGGGGATAAATGCCAGGGGCCCAGGAGCCATGCTGGGGCACTCATTTGGCAGCCAGGAGCTCTTGGTGCCCACGAGCATGTCCCTCACTTACCATGATGGCGACCCCGGAAAACATGATGGCGGAAACCAGCTGCCAGACCCTGCGTGGGAGGGAAGAGAGAGGACGTGGTGTGAGCGTGGGGAGCGATCCCATCGCTCATACTTCGCAAAGCATTCCTGCCTACCTGCCTGATTGGTCATCAGCCTTCATCCTCCCACCTTGCACAACCAAGGCAGCCACAAGTCTCCCATAGGAGGACTCGGCTCCCCACAGCCCACTAGCTCCAGCCTCAGCATGCAGACCAGCTTCGCTGGTGAGACAGAGATTAAATCCCCCTCGCCCAAGCAGAGGAGGGAAGTGACGCTGCCAAGAAGACGGTGCAGAGGGGGGGTCCCCACAGAACGCACCACTCTGTCACACATGAGCCCAGGAGCTCCTCCAGCCCTGCACAGCCCCTGTGGTTCCCAGTACCTGCTGTGGGACAAGAGCTTGAGGGCCTGAGGCTGATTTATGGGGGAAGAAAGCAGAGCTGGTCCGGTCCCGCAGTCCCCGAGAAGCCCCTGCAGGGAGCAGCGACGCTGGTGCTGCAGCAGCGCTGGTGTCAGCAGCCAGAGCTGTCAGGGATGCTGTGGCCATGGGCACTCTTACGACCCAGCTCCAAGGTGGCCCGATATCTTACCTGAGCCCCAGCGGTTCCCGGACAGCAAACTTGATTTCATTTCCCAGTACTTGGCTAATCTGCAATTCAAATAAAAGACATACAGTGACTGAGCAGACCCTAACCCAGCCTTTAGGCAATATTTGCCAGCCCAAAAATGTGTACCCTAACCCCATGTGGCAGTTTATCTCGAAGAGGGCTGGAAGGAGGACGAGGACGAGGGATTCACCTGTGACCCCTTGGTCCCAACACCTGCCGAAGGCTGCCCTGATTTCCCTCAGGAGCTGCAGCCTCTACTGCTGCTTTACTGGGATCAGCCACGTGCAGCATGGGGCTGGGGCAGGGTCAGCGTTAACTCTTCTCTCGTCTTACCTACGTAAGTAGGGAACTGTGTCCTCCCACACACCACCTGTGTGTGACACCCTGATGGAAGACAGGCTCCAGAGCCCTCGGGGTGTCACAGCATCTGTCCCGCTCTCGCATCCGCACTGCCCAGAGTGATGTCCAGCCATGACTTCCCCAAACCACGTGGATGGGAAGGCAGCAACGCGGAAACATACTGGGGGACCTTTTGGTTGCAGAAAGCTCTGAGAGAGCTCTGTGCCGCTCCCCACATGCAGGCAGGAGCTGGGCAATGCCCTGCCAGCAAGTTCTCCAGAGAGGATCCAGCACAGTGCTCCCACAGAGCTCACCCTTGTCCTCCAACTCAGGTATTTCACTGAAACAGGTTGTTCATCTGCAATTCAGGACTCTTCCGAGAGGCACCACAGCACCCCTGCTTAAATCGCTGCTCCAGTGTCCAGGCCACTGGCTGGTGGGCATTGGTGGTGCCACGCTCCTACAGCGCCAGCTCCAAGCTAGCTCCCGGGTGTCTCAGCAATACAATTTCAGGAATGGATTAAAGCAGCTTGAGGGCAGAGCTCACCCTGTTACCAAGAGAAGCTGTTTCGGGCAGCTCTTGTGCATTCAAGAAGGTTGCGTCGTCCACCACTGCTCAAAGGCAGCATTATTCGTGCCACCATAGCCCTCACCCCTCGTGTTACAGGAGCCCCATGGAGCTGGGAGCCCTGTTTTTGTCAAAGAGGCTCTAGAAGTTAGATGCTAAAACCCACCACCACCACCATCTCAGTTTGCCCGGGCAGAAGGTCTCTTTTCTATCATCCCTGTCTTCTTCTATCTCCCCTGCCCTCACCTTTGAGCGATGGACCTCGCCGTCATCGTCCTCCCCGCCGACCCCCAGGATCTTGCGTGTCTTCAGCCTGCTCACCAGGTCGGTCTGGCTGTGCTTCTTCATCAGCGGCGGGGGCTGCTTCGCCGCCATGGTGGCCCTCGGCTGCGAGGTGGCGCGGGAAGCGGCTTCGCCGTCACATGAAATTTCACGATGTTTGGAGGATCAGGAAAAAAAAAAAAAAAACCAACCACCAACCACCACGAAATCTTCCTGTTAAGCTGGCAGGTGGCTCCTCATGGTCCCGGGGCAGGGAGCCCTGGTGGTGGGGCTGACCCCGGCTACAGGTGGCTCATCTCAGGGTGATTCTGCCGTCACCGGGATCTGCTGAGGAGGACAGGAAAATCAGAGCAGTGTGGCTTTAGCGTGGGCATTTAGCTCTAAGTGCTTTTGACCTACAAATCGTAGTCTGGCCTATCCCAGCATGAGGCAATGCCCAGCGGTACCTCTTTGCTGTTTCCCAGATTAGGGGAATTAAATGCTTCCCAGAGTAGAGGAATTAAAGTCATTAAGTGATGCTTTGCCGTTTGTCTTTTCCTGTGCGATACATCACGACCTTCAGCTGCCATTTCAGGCCAAATACCACACAAGTCTCAGGTATTTATTTGTGTTCCCCCTCAGATGCTGCAGCCCCCCCCGTTGTGCCAGAACACACCAGCCCCTGAACAACAGGAAGCCAGAGGCAAGACATTCCTTGAGGATACGTTGCTTACTGGGAAATGGAAGATGATGGCAACTAGAAACTACAAATACTATCTGGGATAGTAACAAGACAAAGATAACTGACAGAAGCTACGGTGGAAGAAATCACTTCTGCCTTGACATGGCTGTATAAAGCTAGAGGTGTCAAGAGTCCCATGAAGTCACTCTATATCATCCTGCAACCATAAAAACCTGGAAACCCTCCATTCAGAAAGCCTTTTCTTCCAATTTGTCTTCATTTCATCTTGGCCTAGCTGAACACAAACACGTCTTTCCACTTGCCACTTCACCCTCCCAGAGACCCACAGACGAAGCCCCCAGAGGCACCCGGCACAGCTAATCCAGAGCTCAAGCGCCGTCAGTCCCGTGCCGCAGGCCAGCCTTCTCACGGCTGCCCTGGGAGGAGGGAATTTATGCTCGTGTCTAAAGAGTTCACGAGTCTTCGGGGAGTCATGAAACGAGGTGCTGGCTATTTTGGCACTGTGCACGCAAGCGTTGTCCTGCTGCCTTGCGAGGGATTTCCCTCTGGCAGGAAAACCCTTCCCCGTGGTTGTCCAGACAAGAGCAGACAGTCATGTTCGCAAGTGCCCCACGTAACCCTTTCTGTAAGGCAAAGCTAAGAGGTCTCGCAGGGACAGTGCACAGACTGAATCCTGTGACCAAGGGCTTAATAAGAGCCTTTCAGCAGGCCACAGGCAAAATGCTTCGCAGCGAGCCGGTTCAGCTGCTCAGGGCTTTGCCGGTGCTTCTTTTGGATTGTAGAGGTTTTGGTTTGGTTGCTCTTATTCCACTGAATAACTAAGCCCAGGTTCCTGGAAAGGCAGCACAGAGCCGGATGCAGCAGCCAGGGTCTAGGAATATTTCCAAAGTGGGACAATGGAAAACAACCCCTCAGAAGGAAGGAGGAAGCTGTATACTCATGCCTACACTGGAGCACAAGGCAAGAAGCTCAAGAGGTAGCTGCTACTAGAAAAGTTTGGAAGATTTATCATGTCTAGAATTTGCTGACCCAAATTGTCACGGTAACTTGTGGGTACTCAAATCTAGATAATCTGCATATGAAGTCCATCCCAAAGCTAGAGTAATTTGTCAAAAAGAAAAGCTTCACCTCTTCTTAATTTCCTTTGCTACAGTTTCTGCAGTCCTTTCTGCTCCTGGCAGACCCAGACTCAGCAGCTTGGGTGCTGAGTGGTTTCCCACCAGCCCTGCACTGCTGCTGAAACCAGAGAAGACCTGTTGCTGTGGTGTTTCCAGCCCGGCATTTTCTGATCAAAGCCATCCAGCCCAATCCTGAAGCAACACCCCTCTGCTGAATGCTCCTCTCTCACGCTGAGCCTCAGGACCGCTCTGAGGCCATCCCATACCCCTCACCTGGCCCAACGCAGCTCCTGGGACACGGGGAGGACAGCCCTGAGTGATGGGCTGACACACGGTGCCCGAGGCATGCCACACTGTCAAGAGGACCCTCACACCCCTGTAAAAGCGCTGGGTACCTATTCGGCCACTCTTCCTCCCCTGCAGGCTTTGGTAGAGAGCAAAGCAAAGTGTTTCCATGAAGACTTGCTAACTGAGGGAAAATCCTGGCAGATGGCCTGAGCAGCAGCACCAAAGCCCTCCCCAGGGATGAGAGACCCGAGGCTCGCTGGTCTTGATGGGACTTGGGGTGCTGAGTGTGCTGGCCACACCAGCCAGCACCTCTGCCCACACCTCCTGCCCTGTCCTCATGGTCAGAAATGGCACGGGAAGAAAAGATGGCACAGGAAAAACAAAGGAAAAGAAAAAGAAATTAAAAGAAAAAAAAAGAAATAAAACGATATAAATAGAGAGAAAAAAGGGAAGGGGGTGGAGAGAGTGAAAATGGGGGAAAAAAGAGGGTGGGGAGAAAACATCTTTGGATCTAAAGAATCTCTCCTCAGGGCAAAAAGCAAAGGATGGTGGTGGGGGCTGGAGGGGAGACTCCATGACTCACCGATGAAGATGCTCTGTGATTACAGAGGCAGTTTTCCAACTCTGACCACAGGCCAAAAGATCAGAATTTGCCTTCATCAGTTGTCTCGCCAGTTGCTTTCAGGGCAGGAGTTGGTGGAAATTTCTCCACATCATCATTAGCACTGCTCTTCCATTAAGAATTCCCACCAGTTTGTGGTAAACCGCTGGCCAAGAGCCGGGACAATGTAGGCCAGGTACAAGTGCCAGTAAAACAACCACCGAAGGCCATTCTGGTACATAAAACTACACTCCCACCACACTAAGCGCAGCTACGGCACGGCCCCGCAGCCAGTCCCACATCTCATTATCCCCATCTTCCAGAGAAAGAGCCAGTTTAACAAATACTGAATATTAATGAATAATGAGCTAACGAATGCATTAGTGCTAATTCGATGACATTCAGATAGAAGATGCCGAGGATTTGAAAGCGTTATACTTACATTAATGTATCCTGACACACTGACAATTTACAGGATGTTTTCCATTAGCCTGTGCGTTTTCAAAGGGGAACCTCCACCTCCTCCTTCTCCTGTGATTCTTTTCTCCTTAAGCTGTTTTCTGAGCATCCCAGGGGCTCTGCAGATCAATCACCATAAACAGGCAATTCCTACTCCCCGGCACAGCTCTCAGTGATGGGCAGTGCCTATGTGCAGTTGAAAGAGGGTTTTTTTCCTCCAAAATCCTTTTTCTTTGCAGGCTCCTTTCAGTATCTATTTCCTTGCTCGGCTGTTCAGCATACTGCACCCAATTTTGATAGCTCCTGCTTCGTGGCGCAAAGAAACCTCACTGGTGCCACGCTAATGATAGCTCAATCTCTCCCCACCTCCACAGCTCTTCCCCCAGCATCTCCGCTTCCCTCCCAGCGTCTGGAGAGAAGAGGAGCTCTGCAGCACGGGAGAGGGGAGACTCAACCGCACATACACGATGATGCTGCAGCAGCCAGAGCTGCGCACCCATCGAGGGAGGTGCAAGGGGCTGAGAGAGGGGAACCAGACCCCATTCCCGCAGGCTCCTGACTACCCAAAGCTCCAGCAAGCTGCTGCCGAGCAGCCGATGGGAGCTACCCAGCCCGCCTGGGAGGACACAGCTCCCCAGAGGTGGCCCTGAGGACGGGGCTGCCGCCTATTGTTTAGCTAGACATCGTTTTGGTGGCACAGCCATCCACGGTGCAGCCTTTTGCCTAACAAAGCAGAGCTGCTCACATGAAAGATGTGGTGCTACAATACCTCTCACTCCAAGGGTTTGAGGGCACCTCCAATCTGCAAGCAGAGGAATTAAAAATGAACCAGAGTCAAGCCAGGATAATGAGTGAAAGGTTTACACATTTAAGCTGGCCACAAGTTTGTTCAGTTCTATCATGTTCAGGCCAGGGAGAGGACTCTTGCTATCCTGTCAGGATCTAGTTTTAGGTTTTCCAAGCCTGAGACAACTCAACATATTTGATTTGTTATGCCAAAGAGTTAACGAAGGGTGCCGTGGATGTACGCCCTTTCCAACAGCCTAACAGGGCATTTGCCATGCCTTAGGCATCTTTCCTGGACCACAGGTTGAGTATCACTAGTAAATAGGAAGCAGCGGCACTGTCCCTTTGCAATACTGTAGTTTCCCCGGGAGCGAAGGTCTCCAACGCTGCAGCAGCACGAGGAGGTTCATAGATGAAAGGGACACCCAGCACGGCAGCCGCGCTATACCAGGCTCTCACAGGTGGGCTGATGCCCACAGCATTTCTCTTGCAAGGCTATGGCAGCCATAACACATTTGTCCAACTCTTCTGCTGTTTCTCCAGGCTCTGGCGTTCCTGTCTCTTTGCTGGTGAGGACAATGCCAGGTCCAGAGCAGTTGCTCTGGACATCGAGAAAGCCTGGGCTCAAATACATGGGCAGGGCAAAGAAGAGATGGTGGTGGATGCAGAGGTCAGAGAAGTCATACAAGAGTAAGACCAGCCAGAGAGGGAAAGATAACTTTGTTTAAAGAGTCTTCTTCTCTGGAGATATTCAAAACCTGCCTGGACGCAATCCTGTGCAACCTGCTCTAGGTAAACCTCCTGTAGCAGGGGGGTTAGACTAGATGATCTCCAGAGGCCCATTCCAACCCCTACCATTCTGTTATTCTGCGATTTCCACATCTAGTTTTCAACCAGACAGCCATCTCTTCCTTCTTCTTGTCCACGAGGCTCATTAACAAAGTATCTCAGTGTTTCACAATCTCACCTTGCTTACAGCCTTGCACCTTCAGGACAGATGACATTCCCACCTTGGAAATGCCAGTAGATTAAGACCAGGATCCACAGACATACTAAGTACCTTGGCTCTTGCAAACACTAGGCTGTTGCCCAGTTGTGTGGGATCCAAGACTCCCTTTTTCCCCCCACATATGAAGGCTCAGTCTGCTCACTTTTACATGCCTAAAATCACTTGGTAAAAAAAACTAACAGACACTTCAG